CTACCCGTCCACTTGGTCACATCGTGTTCAGGGTCAGCCGGGAATTTTTTTTCTGGATTCCAAAAGGTTCACCGAGCTCTCGGATATGTAGTGACTGTTGTGGTGTCGATTGACAGTGTCACAAGTAGATGCTCCTGCGTCGTGCATGGCGGCCGAGATCCTATTCTACTGAAGCTCGGTGTCATTAGAACAAGCCAGCGAAAGTTCGGTATGCAGTGCATCTTTTTAGGTTTGCCTGACCGATGGGCGGGGAGAATTTCTCAATTGCTAATCGCGGCAGACGCTTGATGCGTCTTCCGGTAAGTTCATGAAAAAACGACAACGTACTAGGGCATGATCAGAGTCGAGGCAGGTATTCCAGAACGAGCGGCAATTCATGATGGAACCACACCACCTGTAACTTATGGCAATGTGGTCAATTTGCGTCCACCGCTGGCCAACTATAGGAGGACGCCAAGAGGCACTTCAGCGCCCACTGTCTAAAAGCAGTGCTACTAAGAAACAGCTGGTGCTCCGCACACGGCTGCAGCAGACGCTCGCCGTTTTCAGTCCGTTAGGAGTTAAGCCCATAAGTACCATCTAGCTGAGCTTCGGAAGGGCTTAGACGCCCTACTTGTGCGTTCATATCCGCTGCAGCTACTAAAATATCTGAATTAGTAACAGTGAGTAGTAGCGCGTTCAGTTCGTGATAGAATGTGTCCTTGGCAGCATTTGAACTGCAATCGGTGGGAGCATAAGGGGACATCACAAACAAACAGCGTTTTGTACTACTTCGTGAATCCACCTTAGTTGATGTCGTCAAACGGACTGCACACAAACGGCCGTTCACCGAAATCCAATCAACCTACGATGGCTCAGCCTTTGAGCTGAGAACGATACCCACCCCAGCGTGACCTGTGAGTACCGCATCAGCGTCTCCGGATGCGTGCAACCAATAGCGAGAGGACAAACCGGGCGCAGTTAATTCAACAACCCCATTAAGGTCATGGATCCTAGTTTCGGACACTCAACACGCGTCCATACCCAGTGTGTCCAACGTGTGTGCGAGTGCAGCCCGTTGACCTACTTGTCTTAGAGTGCGAACGTTGAATGTCGCCAGAAAAACGGGACGGCGCGACCTTATAAGGGACCGTTGCCCATAGGCGTCCGGTGGGTGTTGCGAGAAAGTGGTTGCAGATGGTTCGACCCACGGCATTACAGATGCTGTCAATTAAACTGAGAATTATGGGAAGAAGGAAAGCAATCGGGGTAGGATAGAAGTAAGAGAAACAGGTGGAAAAGAAAGGAGGCGTCCTTCTGTATGCTGCAGATAAGGCAATCATTGATAATCTGCGCGACGGCCGATGCAGTTCAAGTTTGGGGAATTTGTTATGGTCGTATGTGGGCTGAGATACTGCCAGGGCACCCCGACCTAGACAGGAGGACGATTAGGGTGCTCTACCAAAGCCCTTGGCTCAAAAGCCTGTCCGCAAGGCAGCAAGCAGATGGCAATGATTTCGTTTTACACAAACAGACGCCATCTCATTCTAAACACCCAACCTAGAGGACCTGAAGACTAAGCTTGTCTGACCTCCAACCATTGACCAAGTTGGTAGGATAAGCTCTCAAAGAGGCCGGGGAAACCACCGAGTATAGGCTGATGGGTCAACGAGGTACGCGAATCGTCCCACCACATTAAGGTTCAGTCTTGTTGTGACGGCTGGAGATAATAAAGGGCGGCGACATTTTGCCATAAACCCTCACTCTGCCCGAACTATGCACATACAGCGCACAGATAATATTGACGTAATTTTCGGGTTCACCTCTTCTGAGTAGACAGTCTCAAAGGGCACATGGAGGATATCTTTGATGTCGAGCAACACGACTACGGTAGGTCGCTGATAAACATGGCGGCATTACAACAATTGACTCAAAGTGAAAACATGGGCTAGGCAGCCTCGATCCTGGCGAAAAACGGCTTGCTGCTCGAGAATCCGATCTCTACGAATGTCAGTAGGTCGATGCAGAAGATCAGAGGCAAGTAAGTTAGATGCAATGGAGATCAGAGCGAGCACTCTATGATTGCCGTAATCCGAACGTGAGCTTCCAGCGAAAAGTGGGACTATAACAGAGTGCCTCCAGCCTATTAGAATAGCATCTACCTCCACAGCTTCATCAGTAAGTTGTACATATCGCCCGAATTTGAAGAGAATTGGAGGAAGTCTATTTGTTCCTGCGGTCTTATACCATTTCAACACCCAGATCTTATGTTCGAGTTATGCGCGCAAGGGATGATCCAATAGGACGTTTCATGGAGAAAAGCAATCACTGGCCAAAAGGTAGCTGGTAACTGGCTGATAAAATTGCTTCTCAAACTGTCCGGCCCAACGCTACAAGCACTATGACAAGCTGTAAATTGACTACCAACTCTCGTCGCATATAATCTTGCTAACATTAGGTCTCTTGCTATCTGTTTTCCATAGGATACTAAATAATTAACGATATTTACCAAGGACAGCGGCTGTCTCCATCTCCGATGTATGATGAGACCATCAGGCTCCGTGGACTCCATGCTAGCGTGCAGTTCTGCCCTGAGACTTTTGCAAACGCCGTTGTGTTTGCTTCCAACCGAAACACGTCGACAAGCATCAAGGATTTATAGAGACTGCGTAGAGACCCAACGTCTATGCCGGCGATTTGATTTGCCGCATGAGAACATGCTTGCAGATAATAACGTCTGGTGAACATGCGACCAGTGATCTTCAACTGTGTTTAGTGAGCGTTTACTCAACCCGCATGCCAGCGTAGTATGATGCGCATTCAGAACATCTGACTTCACCGTTTGGTAAGTATTTATGCGTTCACAGCATCGTTGCGGAGGTACACCGAAGCGAACTCAGAGATCGGCACATAAAATGCGTGGTCGGTCCCCGCTCGCGCTCAAAATCGAGTGACAGTTTTGGACACAGCCTCTCCAGCGGTAGCCGAACGTGAGGTGGTCGATTTGCGCCATGTATCGGAAGTAAGTGCTCAAAAGAAATAAGCGAGCTTCTTGAAACAGATAAAGTAACTGCTCACCATTGCCATTAAGGGAGCATACACCATGTTGGCCGCCCAGGTGAGACTCATCAGTGGACAATTTTCCAACTTAGGCGTTAAGATCACCAGTAACGAATGAGCTCGTTCAGTTGGTGATAAAATACCTCGCCCCGAGTCTGTGCTACGCTTTGTGGGTACGTATGCAGAGATAGCAAACATGCACCGTTTGCCCCCAAAAGACTTCGAAACCTTTAACTAGCCAGCAAATCTGACAGCGCACATCCCGCAGCTTCAAACAGGGGGCTTAAAAAGCAAAGCCCACCTCGGCTTGACCGGCGTTTGAAGCTGTGTTATCTCCGGATACACGTAATGAGAAAGTACCGCCAGTGTCGAATGTGGGGGGTCGAAAGGCGCGAGTCTTGTAGGCAAGTTTCTGGTATGCAGTATATATCGATCGATAAGTTCTATAGTTTTCTGGCATATGCTGCCTTTTCACCGAGGTGTAACAAAATGCACATGTTGAGGCATGCCAGCCTTAGGGAGAGTCGAGGACTTCAGAAAGAAACGGTGAACTGACTTCGTCCGCTTGATTGGATGGGAGAGGCCCAAGAATTGGGTGGTTAAAACAGAGGGATAAAAGTAATTTTGGAACGGGACGACAAGCTTGACTGGTAGGATCCATACTCCTATCCACCCTGCTCAATGCAGCAGAGGTCATCGTTGATTATCTTCTGCGGAGCATCAAGAAATCGAAGAGTTCATTTTATTGAGCGGGCAGGATCCTGTCAAGTTGCCCACGCCTAGACAGGAGAAGGATTAGGGTTCTCAACTAAAGCCTTTGGTCTAAAAAGCCGACCGCAAGACAGTGGGTTTTCGCACTGGGCTACAGAGAATCCGTTTGATGGTGTAAGGAGCAGCCCTTACTCCAGCCCCCAACATGTACGGCCAAGAAATTGAGTTTGTCTGGTCATTGACCAAGGTGGTACGATTGGCTCTGTAGGTGCAAAAATCACCACGCACCATAGTTAAATGGATGGTAGAGGCACACAAACTGCCACGTTAGTATCCAGCCGCGTCGCTTTGCATACGTCAAACTAAAACATCTATGGCGTCGTCGCGATGTCAGCCTAAAGCTCAGGTGTAGGGTGTGCATTGCTTTTGTCCGTGTGAATCTTTCGTACGGCTGTAAGACTTAGCCTATTCGCTCGGAAGACAATCGTTGTCTATGTAAGAATGCTCGTGTGAGGTGGCAACATCAGGTATGCAAAACATAAGTCCACAGCCAAGAGCTTGGGTCAAACATCTCCAACATCCAGAAGTTTATTCTCAGACACTGCATGCGTTGGCTCGGTCACGTATTGCGCATACCAGCCTATGGTCTTCCCCGTCGAGCGTTATTCGCGCTTCCCGAGAGCGACCGGAAAAAGTTCCGCAGTGGACAACAAAGGACGTGGAGAAGAAGTATGAAGTAGGCAACCTCAAGCATAGTAATCGTCGGATCGGTCCGCCTTTCAAAATGAGGACCCCGCTACTCTGATTTCTATGGGTTGGAAACGTCCACAACATATATCTGCGGTGCCAGTGTTGTTTTACCGCATCTACCCATCAGTTAATGTCTACTTGAACACACATAAAACTCCAAAACACAAAAAACGCAGACTAGCGTGCGTGAAACCTAAAAAACGTTTCTAACCGCAATTGTATTTCGTTTTCTCCACTTTTCCCTGTCATGGTTCTGATAGCACATGGTCTGGAACCAGGCTGTGGTTAAATATACTCCTCGCGAGGGTGTTGGAACATTGCGCCTAAACGGCGTGATCAGGACACGCTCAATTCATCGTCAGTAACCAGTACCTCATGTCAATCAATGCGATGTCAGTTCATCAAAAGCCAAGTAGAAGTGTAAGGGATATAAGTGAAGTTACGGGGAACTACTCCAAAAAAAACACAAGAAATCAGACCGGTGGCCAATAGTAACGTACCTCAAATATGGCTGATTTCTTGCTAAGGGTGGCTCCGTCCAAAGTCCAGAAACTCAAATGATTCTTGCCGCATGTAACGATGGAGGACTCATCCAATGGATGGAATTCGGCAGCAACAACTGGGTCATTTGAGCACTGTATGCGAAAAGAAGTTGAATATGCAATGTTTTAGAGTGGACAGTTGGTGAATTATTTAGACAATCCGGACAAAAAAGAGGGGAACAAAAGCATATATCGCAGCAACGAAACTAAGTAAATATGAGGAGCAGAGCAACAGAAGAAGTATCCAGAAAGCAGCATACTTAACACAAAAGGGAAAGAAAGGCATCAGCAGTACGCCGTTACGCAGTATTGACGCTTCTCTGCCGTGCAGCCAGCACCAGTCACACGTGGGCTAAGGGATAATGCGAGGGTTGCGCGGTTCCAACGCAGACTTGAACCCGCACCGTCAGATTACAAGACAAGCTTGTTACCTTTAGGCTACTTGCTACAGGAAGCCAAACGAAACAACCCACAACCGGTATATTGCGTCAAGACTCGATCTAAGTACGGGCGTCGGCGCGTAGACAACAGGTAGGCAGACGGCGTACGTACAGAGGACAGTGGACTGAACTACTAACGTAACAGATGTGAGAAAGAGCGGAGGATAGATGTGTATGCGTGCGTGTGTATGTGCAGAGCCAACAAAAGCGGCAGTCAACGATTGTTAGATAAAATTGTGACATCCACCACTGTCGTCGCTAGCGTCAAAGCCGGTTGGAAAGGTTTAATTAATTTACTACCGCAAAAGGGTTTCACTTGCAGGTCAATACTTTACGCCCTCTGCTACTTGCCTTGTAGGAGAATGGGTGGTCAGCCAGTGCGTTTTAAGAGCGCACGTTATCTGAATGTCGGCAGACGATCCGTACGTCCGGAAGTAACAAGAAGTTTTGATTGTCTGCAGAAATGACTGCAGCTGCGTCTACTAACTACTGATCGGAGTTAAACTGAATGATCTTCCCTGAGTGTAACTTCCGTCTTTGACTCCTCTGAGGAAAAAGAATTCTTCTGTCGATCCTCTACTCCAGGCCGTGGCATAGGGAAGAACAAGTAAAGCCTCGTTCTAGGATTTCGGCCGAACATCAGTTCCGCCACGGATGTACTGATAGTCTCAGTGTGCGAGTGAAGCGTTTAGCACCAGTATATCAGGTGGTGGATTCAGTTCACCTTGACTTACCTTATGTCAAGCTAAACCTGGCCCACCAAATTGACAGACCTAAAGAGGCTAGGTACCTACGATCATCGCAGCCTTCGCTGTTTAGCTCATGTCTGGTGGGAACTCAGCGTGATCATTTTCTGCGTCGTGTATTTGGTCCAGAAAAAGCGAATGAACCGTTATTTCAGGAATCAGGCTGTGATGACTGGGCCATGTGTTGCGCACGTCAGCACACCTATTCCCGCGATGTGGATTGTTTGCGCGCCCAGGGTCTGGATGGAAGAATAGGAGGGGAGGACTAGCGATGACCTGGTCGAGAGGAATGAAGTTCCTCGCTTCGAACTTGGCGTCGGTTCTAGTTTTTTCCGAATGCTGCGCTGACGACCGAAGGACGATGAATACATTTAAATGCATACACTTGTTGACATTGCGAAGGGCGGACCTCAATGGTGTTTGTGCTGTGATTTTCTTTATCCCAGCCTCCTTTAGCTTACAACTCCGACAGCGATCGCAAACCGAATGCATAATATGATTCTAGCATAATGTCACTTTTTAGCTTTTGTAGTCTTCACGGTTTAGTACCTCGTATTTCGGCACATCAGCTAAGGTGCATTTTTCATGCTAAGCTAACGCGTATTAATGATAATGATGAGGCTGGCGGTAAGTTTATTAGATTCAGTGCTGGCAAAAGGTGGACCATTCAGTTTATAAGGTTTCGGGAAAGTCGAAGGTAACAAAAGAAGAGCGCATTTTGGTAATGGTGGTTCCGGAAATCGCTTGGGCAACTGAGTGCGCACTAATGCACTAAGAATGTGCATCGATAAGTAGAAGAAACAATATTTTCTTAATCTATCCGAAATAATCAGTGGAGTTAGTAGTCCCGGTTTCTTGGACCAAAATCAAGGGCGTGCTGAACAGGGCGTTTTGCTACGTCACTGAGCCTGACAAATGTCGCAATTCCTTAATGTTTTCTATATCTGAGCCGATATTACGCCACCAGCAGCAACCTTTTCGCCAATGTCACCATCCCCGCTACACATGGATGAGCATGGTGGAGTTCCTTGACGGTGTGGGAAAGCACTTTAACAGGAAAGACCAAACGAGAGTCTTAGAAAAGCAGTCATCGAATAGACACACTTCGTTGTTGTGCATTATATTTCATCAGAAGTCCAAGGCACCGTTAAAAAGCATTTCACCATTGACAGTAATGGGTTTCGGTCCGTCCACTGACGGATCGTTGCATTTCGTATCTGTGTTGTGTCTGGATGATGCATTGAATAAATCAGTTCAAACGCATTCTCATGTTCGTGTGTAGTCTCCGCTGTCAAGAAACGGCACAGTGCATTTGCTGTGCGGCTGCTGACGCCCATAATATAAGCAATCATGTAATTTTAAGCACCCATCTCTGCATTCTCGGTGATGTCAATGGAACAATGGTATATGACGGGTAAAAAAGCATACACTTAACGAGTCCCGCAGGTTGGCAATAGAAATACTAACAAATTGGCAAACCACATAAGTGGTTGAAGTAAGGAGTGTCAGTGCGATAAAAGGCAGAAGTATAACAGTTTTAGGGGGAAAAAGTGGTACGACGCAAAACTGGCTAAGAAATTGTTATCGTTGGTGATGGTAGCAAATAAAAATGGAGTACTCACCGGTTCGCACAGATTTACGACCGTGAATTTGGGGTATAAATCCAAAGAGGCTGGTCAGCCTAAATATATACAAGCGTTTTGGTTCATAAAACAAAGCGCAGGGCGCTCAGTGCGACGTCCAATCGTTTTTTAAACGTATCTAATGTGGGGGCACAAACAACTGAGTTTGGAAGGGCGTTCCAGGGCCCGCAGACCCGGAGGGAGAAATAGGTTCTCCGACAGTCTAGACGATTGTACTGTTGGCTCAGCTTTAAACTGTTACCGCGAAGGTTAGTGTTCGGGCTGAGCTTCAAGAGGTGGCGGCATACGTGACTGGGATCGTTCAATATCTGGTACACTAGTATGAGGTCTCCACGAAGTCGCCGGTACCGTCCGCTGAACACTCCGAGTATCTCCAGTCGTTCCTGGTAAGGAGTGGGGCGCAAGCCCTTGACGATTTTCGTTGCTCGACGCTGTGGGGTCTCAAGCGCTGCAAGGTCACGTTTTAGCCAGGGTTGCCAGGCCTGGATTGCATATTCGACGTGAGGACGCACGTAGGCATTCAGCATCAAAGAGAAGATGGATGGATCCAAATTCCGAATGCTCTTCGCAGGAGTCCAACGTGCTGGTTGCCCCTTTTAGAAGCGGAATCTGACTGTTTGGAACACCCGAGGTCTTCCTGTACCAGCACACCCAAGTCGCGTTCCTGAGTGGTGGTCTTCAGATCGTGTGCCCCAAGCTTGTAGACGTGGACTTGTCGATGGCGGATGTGAACAACGCGACATTTGTCCACATTAAACGGCAGGGCGTTTCTCACCGACCAATTCCAGGCCTCATTCAAGTCACGCTGTAGGACTTCATGATCGTCCGATCGTTTTATCGCCCGCCAAACCTTGAGGTCGTCCGCGAAGAGTAAGAATTTCGACGTAATAACTCTTACTAGATCGTTAATGAAAAGCAGGAACAAACGAGGCCAAAGTACCGAACCCTGTGGTACGCCGCATCCCACTCGAATCGGATCGGAAAAGGATGATCGAACTCTAACTACTAACTGCCGTTCAGAGAGAAAGTTACCGATCCATCCTAACAACGGGTCTCCGATACCGTACTGTTGGAGTTTAATGAGCAGGATTCGATGATCCAGGCGATCGAACGCTTTCGAAAAGTCCAAGAATGCAACATCGACTCCTGTTCCCTCATCGACAGTCTCGGTCCAGTTGTCACGAGCTATCAGCAGATTCGTCGTACATGAACGATGTTGACGAAACCCATGCTGTTCTGGCGCAATTATGCCGTAGTTTTCCAAGTATCCCATTAACGCATCTGCTATCACCGCTTCCATGACTTTGGCGATCACAGGCAGAAGCGTTACGGGGCGGTAATTGACAGGATCCGATCGACTTCCTGCTTTGTATATGGGCGTTATTACACCTTGTTTCCACCTCGAAGGTACGATGTTCTCATCGAAACAGCGCTGAAAAAATGCAGCTAGTGGTTCGGCCAAGTGGATGGCAGCTACCTGTAATGTTTTCGGGTGAATGTTATCGGCCCCGGGAGAGCTGTGTGGACGCAAGGATAGCAGCTTTTGCAGCACCATTTCTGCAGTGAACGTGACGTTGGATAAAACGGGCGGTGGGGTAACTAGTGGCGGAATATACGTCGAGGCTTGTACACCTTGGAAGATTGGGGAGTACTGGGCCCGTAATGCGTTGGCCGCCTCTTTCGCAGTATGTGTATACCCATTGGTCGTATTAAGTGGTGGGATTCCCCGTTGCACCTTGCGAAGTCCATTCACATGTTTGTAAAGAAGCTTTTTGTTCGAACAGAATCGTTTGGCTAGCTTCTGCTGATGCGTTCTCTTGTCTTCGCGAACCAAAAGCACACAGTAGTTGCGATGCGAAACGTATTCCGTCCAGTTTTCTGCGCTGGGGTTGCTTTTATACGTGCGCCATGCCCGATCCCTTAGAGTCATGCATTTTCGCGTCCGGCTTCGCAAGAATGATTTCGCTGTGCGGGGATGTTGGGAAACTTTTGGTGTTGAGGCTTCTATGACTAGTGACGTGATGGTGTTCGCAAATGTCTCCCAGGCTAGTTCTGGGGTGCAGTTAGCTAGAAACGTCCAACTGGTATTCTCAACTAAGGCAGACAGAACGTGGTAATGGATAACAGATTGCCTCGTTTCGAGCTCCGCAGCTGGATATTTGGCGTAGCAGATGTAATCGAACTGGAAAGTCACGTGATCGCTACGGCCCAAAGGACTGCACACCTTTAGTCCATCGACCATGAGCTCTTCGTTGGTGAGCACT